GCAGGAATCCTCTGCTCAGTGAGATGTATGCACAAATGATCAGCACAGAAACTGGAGAAACTGAGTTTTCTATAGCTGAACGGTGGACTCTAAACAGTAGTTAAACCCTCCGGAATGGAACAGCTTTTCCCTACCAGGGCACAAAAACCTGATAAGTCTGACTATTAGTGTAAACACATGTCATACTCTAAGCATCGTTTCCTAATAGCGTTTCATCATGATGTTGGGCTATGCAGTGTCATTGGCCTGCACAAAGTAAATATGTCATCCCAGTCAGCATTACATTGGGTATCGAAGAACAAGAACTAGTATTTTTGCCTGACAGATCGTACTGGGTACTCCCTCCCACAATAAAGTAATATTTTTAACATTGTCTGAACTCCTTTGGACTGCATGTTCAGGCTCTTTATTCACAAGGAGACTCCACTCCTTGTGCTACTGCAGAGCCCAGCAGTTAACTTGCTGAACTGCCATCCATCTTACCTTAGCTGCAGTAAAGGACTTTAGTGCCTAAGGGTGGAGCTTAGGCACAAATTTTACAAAATGCCTACAGACCCTACACATGGCATGAGGAGAGTCAGAAAACTCATTGTTAAGAAAGTTTATGAACTGAGTGAGCAGATAGTAAGTTGAATTAAGTTCAGGATTGCCAAGATAGGAATCTCATGTTCCTTTTCCTCTCCACAGATTGAGACTCTTTATTTACAGTTTGCTTCTTAATGTATAGAGAGATAAAATGAGGAGCTTGGGTTGCCTTTACTATGTAAGACATAGAAGTAGGACTGTGCAGTTTAGCATTTAAGGCATTTGGTAGAAGAGAGTACTCATCAGTGAAGGTGTTTAGATGAGAAGCCCTACTTTTTTTTTTCCTTCAAAGAAAGAAGTCCTTCAAAAAAGAGTAGACTTCCCTCAGTAGGTTTGGTTACGGAAGACTGTTTCTGGTATCTGTTAAAACTGTGTGAAAAAGATGGACACCACATTGATCAAACATGTTTTGTGTTCTACACAGCAACAAGTTACAGCTGCCCAGAGGATTTTAGGGAGGATCGTGAAGGAGATGCCCAATTAGCTGAGCAAACATGTCTTATTTGACCTGTTGGTCTATTTCTTGGTGCAGACCTGAGAGCTCTTTCACCTGGGAGGTTATCTTTGAGCTGGGAGAACACCTTTTTATGCTGAGGTGATAAAGAAACACCCCAGCTTAAATAGTCATGTCATTTGCTTGGAAAATGACATAATCATTCCATTATGCAAAACGGTCTGAGTTCTGCTGGTGTAGAAGTTAATAGAAAACTTGGATATTATTTAAAACACTTTCATCCAGCTGGGCACCCACATTTCAGGCAGACACTTCATAGGTCATATTCCAAGAATTAAAGGTTTATCATGCATTAACTCATGCTAGTAATCCTGTCATTTATTTCTATAAATTTGATTCAAGGTCACTGAAATAGTGGTAAGGCACTACCTGCATCAAAGGTTTGTCTCAGGCTTGAAATGAATAGTTGTTAGGTTTGTCCTTGATTTTTCACTAGAATGAAATTTTGATTTCTATATTAATTTAGCTTTTTCTTTTGATGTGTTGCAGATGAGGGATTCGTACCTCATTCTGGATGAATACGTAAGTCTTTTTATTTGTATGCCCATATATGTATGTGTACAAGAGTAATAACCAATTCCGTTTGCTGTGCATTCTATGAAATAAATTTACCATGTAGTGCAAAGGACAGATACCATTTTTTTCCCATCAAACATACTGAGAACTATACACACAACCTGATGGCAATTTCTTCTGAGGTAATAATACTAATGTTCCAGTTCTTAGTATGTTTAGCGGGAAGAACAAATCTTAAAGTGTAGATGTGTTTCTTTGCTGTGCTGTTTTCCTTTGATTTAAAAATACAGTACTTGTCCTGTAAGTTAAGTTTCAGAGAGCTTTCTAACTTAGTTTACATGTAACTGAAGAGCAGACATTTAAGTTTCAGGATTTAAGGTATTTGTGACTGCCGAGATGTGTCAACATATCTAACCGTGAGCCTTCTGAGGACTACAGTGAAATTGTTCATGTACTTACAGAGGTTTTTGTGGGATTGCAGTGCAAGTCACTTAATTCTGTAGAAAAAAATAACTTTCACAAATTGATTTTCTAATGTCTTATTTGTTGATGATCCAGATGCGTTTTCTAAACTGTACAAATGGACGGAAAGAGCCTTCCAAGTCTATCCTAGATGTTGGAGTGGAAGCAGCCATAAAATTCAGTGGATTTGATGAGAAGATGTTCCTAAAGAGAGGAGGAAAGTATGTGTGGAGTAAAGCAGACATGAAACTGGACTGGTAACTCAATTTACTGAGTTAGAACAGGTGAATTATGTAAATAAAATAGGTGTGTATATATATGCATGTAATGCTTTTAACTATACTTGGTATATTACCTAGCTTGATGTTTAGCATAACTTTGTATGCAAATGTGTTGAATATTTTTAGAATGTAGATTATGTTCTTATCTATTGTTTGGTTGAACATTACCAAATACCTTCAGAGCTTTCATATAAATGTATCTCTGAAATCGAATTTCTAGTTCATTGTATGAAGGACTTCAGGGCAAATTGTTAATATAATGTCACATAGGAAACAGTTTTCAGATAACACGTAAGTGTGCATACCAGGAAACAAAACCAAACCCACCCCAATCTCTAATTCCTTATAAACCGCTGTAATGTTTAACTGGAAACGGCTCAGGGAACGATCTGCTTCGTTCATGTGGAAAGGTGGATCGCAGTTCCTCGACAGATCACAAGAGGGCCACCTGACAGTCCCTTGGAAGCAGTCCCTGCCTTTTTCAGGGGTAGTAAAAGGTCAGAATATAGGAATCAGTATCTGTAATAATGTATTTAAAAGGAAATTAAGATGAAAAAAGCGGCAGTTTTCATTCTGTACGACTAAAATGTAAAAGCATATGTTTTTCTCCTCCCTCCATACACACACACAATATTTGCAAGGATGTTGGGTGGTATAATTTTCTGTGAAAATGTATTTTTAGTTATGAAAGAATATATTATTTATCCTAAAATATAAAAGCACATTTTACCCAATGATAAGCAACTTCTTATTTCACATTTTCAATGGTCTTACTCCTAAAAAATATTTACATTGAAAACAATATTTGCATTTTATTAAGAATGTCCTCCATTTTTCTTTTGTCTGCAAATATTGATTTATTATTTTAAAAATTTTCTTTTCTCTCCCCAAACATACAGTTCTGCTGAAGATACTTTCTGAAATTAATTAATACTGCATAGCACACCTAACACACATCTTCTGTTGCATTCTGGCTGTGGTATTCACATGTGTTTTATTTTGCTAAGCCATGGAATTACAAACAACAAAGTTCATATATTGTATAACCTTGTTTTAAAGGTTGCTTGGCTCAGTAATCATTCTTGCTTGCTGGTGACAAATGTGCAGGTATTAAGTGAAACTAATCAGGTTTTGTGATAGCTGTCTGCTTTTAAGGGCTGGCAGCATCAACATGAAATAGAGAAAAGTAAAAAAACCCTGCAAAATCAGTATTTTAAATTACTCCTTTCATTCTTAGTTCTCTTGCAATTGTTATAGCTTTTAATTGCAGTTTTCAAAATTTAATGAGTCCCATGCCTCCCCCCACCCTGCATCCCCCCAAAGAGCAAAGCTCCGTATGAAGGGCACAAAGCTCAGCATTACACAAAGCAGAAGAGAACTAGCACTTACTCATTCACTCTGTCCATGCAAGTCAAGGAGTGTCTCACATGTTTAAATATTTGCAGCAGCTGGGAGCCAGCAGGCATTAAATGTACCACGTAGGGAAAATGACACCTTTTTTTCATTTTTCTGATAGTTTATTTTTTTGAAGTGGTTTTAGAGATAAATGTTTAGCATTTACTTAATGCATCTTCAAAACTGAAGGAGAAAGCGCTTAAGTAAGAGCTGCTACTTCAGAATAAAGGAAGGAGCATCTCTGAATACACTGTGAAAATACTTCCATTTATAATTCCTTCAGTTTCTATTTTTTACTATCCTAACTAGATATTCTGTCTCAGAGTTACTCTTTTGTCTTGTTGTAATTTTCATTTTGCAATCACAACATTTCCTAGACACTTAAATTTCAGGGTGTTTTTTTTTCACTTGTACTTAATACTAAGTGACATTTAAAATGTGGCCCACACACATTAACCCCACAGTCTTTTGGCAGTTGTTTCGCTGACCTCAGTTGGAGTTCTGCCTGAGTAGAAACTGTGGGCAGTGCAAATTTATGTAACTGTGAGGTTTGACATCCTCTGTGTTCCCATTGCTCAGATATTAAAGCTAGCCTCTTCTTCAGCATTTACACTGCGTGATAGAAACAAATCCTTTTCCTTTGCTTCTGGCTCAGTCCCAGCATGGGGAAAGATTTAGTGCATCACTGTACCAGTAAATCTACCAGCTTGCTGCTTCTGCAGAATATACCAGCTGTATCACAGCATGCAGATGTGAGATGGAGAAACTCCCATACTGATGCAGAAATCCTGCCATTCTTCTCTTTGCCTTTTACTTGGTAAATGGCTATTCTTTTGCTGGAAGAGATCCTCTGTGCCTACAGAGGAAGTTGTAGGATAAACAAACGGAAGCTGAAAATGCAAAAATCCAGTAAAAATGTAAAGACATTGAAGAAAGTTTTTATCAGAAAGTTCTAAGTTCTTCTTAAAATTTTAAGGATTTTACATTGCTTCTTGCTACCATACATATTAAGAAAAGGTTTCTGCTCTGTGATATGCTTTTCCAAAAGAAATTCCAGTCATGTATATTGGAAATGAAGACTTTGACATAACACAGTTTGACAGACTATCATTGAAGTTTATCAATAGCTATTGGTATATGCACAATTCATTTTTGTGTAAAATCTCAATATTTTCTTGGGCTACAGCTTGATTACCCTAGGTTTGTTTTTTTATAGTTGTTGGTTTTTTTTAAATCTATTAACAGAATTCACATTGGACCAAAAATGGACTTCACACTTTCATTCTGTAGTTAGACTTAACTCAGCATGGGACTGGAAAAAATAATACTGAATTCAACAGGGTTACTCCCACACTTTGATTACATGCACATTGTTTCCCTGAAGAGTCAGGATTTAAATTCAAGTCCTGTAGACACAGATATGCTTAATTGTATTGTCACGTGTAATCTCATAGTACTGCAGCTAAGTATTTGCTAAAGATGCTGAATTGGGAAGGGAGTTACATTGTGGCTTTCTAGCATTATGCAGCTGTTCATACTTGTAAAAATTGTAGAAAATTAGCATTTGGGAGAATTACTTCCTTCAGTTACCATTATCATGAATGTACCTTAGGTAATGAATTAAACTGTCCATTTAAGATGCCTTCTTTTTCAGTGTGAAGGATGCTTGATGTATTTTTGAATGTTGAAAATTATGAATTTTTTAACATTCCTGTCACATAATTAGTGCAAAATATTTCACACGAGTGTGTTGCACATTTCAATAAATGCTTTTATTTCCTAAAGTTTGCCTGTGACTTATTTAACTATAACCCGGAACCGTAAAAGCAGAACGTGTGACTGCCTTCACAAGAGAGCAGTCATTCTGGATGCAGTCTGGTTTAGCACAGGGGGCTGCTTGCATGGTGCCGAGGGCAGCATCTTGGCCGAAATGGAGAACAATACTGTTGATTCTCCTTGTGATGAAAAGCATTTGTTACATGCCTGAGTGGACTAGGATGTGCTGGGAGAAGACAGTTGAAATACCTTGTGTTGTTCAGATGACAGCCATCAAAAAAAAAAGACACAACTGTCCATAAATATCTGAGAAGAAAAAAATATTATCTTCTGTTCCAAGAAACAAGAGAGTAAAGCTGGTCAATTTAGAGACATAAAGACAAGCGGTCTCTCAAGCTCATCTGTCTTAAGGCTGCCGTATAAACTCTGATTATACTAGAAAACATGAAATGGGGCTTTTCACAATAATCGCTTGTGGAGAGGGGGAGGTTTTGCCAGGTTTTTTCCTGCTTATTCTAGTGGAGCAAAGGTGCCCAGGAGCAGAGCTGCAGCAAGATGCTTTTTGCATCCTGCCTTCCCTGACCCCACGACCTCTGCAATGTGCCCCCCAGGGGCTGCTGTGTCCTGTCACCCCTGCTATGGCTCAGGCAAGGGCCTGAGCTGCCTTTTAGTAAATCAACCAGACAGCTCCTGTTCATGGCTGCAGCTCAGTGTCTTTCCTTTTGTGTTAAGGAAGAAAGGCGCTCGCTGCTCCATACATAAACCCACAACAGGAAAGCAGCTGTTTTTGCTAAACAGTGCTTGCAAAACAGCCGTGACCCTCATGGTTTTCTTACGTTTCTTCCCTTCTTCCCTTCCTTGCCAGCAAGGTTAACCCATCTGCCCGCCCTTGGAAAACCCCACGTTGTTCCACTCCTGCCGCTCAATGACCTGCTGGGCCGAGGCCGCTACGCGGGGACAACCTGAGATGCGTTCCCTGGAAAAACGTAAAAGCCAAGCCGGCAGCCCGGCAGG